GAAGTATCTCTTGAATGTGAGATTTTTCTGTTAAAACTGCTGACCTTTATCTTTTTCATTACCTCTCTTTGTATCAAACCAATTTCCTCAATTGCATATTCCAAGTTTTGATGAAAGATCATATCAGCCTTTCTTCGTACTCGCTTGCTTTGTACTACGACAGAGCTATCATATGCATGTGAGTCGATGGTATCTTCCACTCCATTAGCAGCTTCTTGGATCATCCTTTCCAGATGCTTCATCTTTATATCTTCATTGAAAATATTAGTAAAATCCTCAAGAAAGGTTTTAAGGAAGGTGTACTTCTCACTGAGGACTTCAGTCTGCTCTTTTTTGTAAAGAAGAGAATGTGATGTATGAGTTTGAGATAAATGATCCAGGGTTTGCAGAAGTGAAGTCACAGCAGCATACGCCGCCATATCGCTGTTTGTTAGTTTCTTACTAAACAGGACAGTAAGAGGTATGTGGAAGACTAGGAAGTTCTGAGTTGTTGATTTAGATGCTCAAAACCAATTCTTTATGAAAGAAGAAGGCAATGTAATGGATGGGAATGCTAGACTTTTAGGCTATGTAAAGATAAGTCTTCTCTTTGTGTCTGTTTCTCTTTGTGGGGTTGGTGGATGGTTAGAATAGAGAATTCTGAATTATTTTGATTGAAGTCAATGGTAATTAAGACTTGTACCAAGAGGCAAATTGGAATAGTTTGTTCAAATCAGGCCCAAAGTCATACAACTTGCCCAAAACTACATTCATACTGTAATGAGCCACTTTTTGGTCATATCTTTAAAAAATAACTATGATTAGGTAACGTCACTTTCTTTGTCGAAAAAAATTGGAATGTCACTATCTAAAATGGTCATTCAACTAATAGTTACATTATTTTTATCAGGTCACTTTCTTTGTCGAAAAAATCGGAATCAAGAAGAAGCGTGACTTTCTGAAATACTAATTAAGCACAAACAAGATCAACATTTATGTACTAACCCACAACAACAACAACAACAATAACAATAACAAAAATGCAATGTATTGAGAAATAAAAAAAGAGGAAACTTTACTATGGGGGAAAAGAAGTTACTCTTGCAATCAAGAACCTCACAAGTGTTGCTCTCCATAACTCTGCAAAAAAAGAAAATGATTATCAGTAAAAAGATTTGAACTTTAAACTGAAACAGGAAAAGGGGGGATTTTTTTTTTTTTTT